AATATCACTTGTAAATATAATGATGGGACATGTCTCCACTCCGCACAACTACGCAAATATTGTGGGACGGAGGGGGAGTATATTTCGCAGAATTTAACCTGCAAGAAGAAATTGCGTTTTTTAACCAATGGGTGACAAATGATTTCACATGCAAATATAGGTAGGATGTTCTACAGTTTCAATTCAATGTATTTTCTGTCCACTTCATCTCCGATATACCATGAACTCCCTACCATACAACACAACAACGACATGTATAGATAAAATGGGAAACACGACAAAAACAACGGACAATGCTCTGATTGGTGAAGGCTACAAAGTTCCGACTGGTCGACTCTACAAAAAGATGTACAACCTCTGTTCCAAAATAAGTACGCGAGCTTCAGGAGGGTGTACATGACTTGCTTATATAATCAGGAGCAAAATTGCAATCACGTTGTCACCTGCCTCGATTCGAAGTACACTACTGTGATTATATCATTAAAATAAGCGCAACCTGAGCTCTCAGTCAATATAACGAAGAGCGGGAAATCTCTAGCGAGACGGCATTACCTGCTTTCAAAAGCTAACATAAAAATATCCATTTAAAACAGACATTAACAACGACCATCATTCTTCATGTGATAATCAAAAGATGGAACCTCACCGACGACAAGCTCGAAGCCATTCTTCGCGAAGTCCTGCTTCACAGCAAAGCCACCTTCATGACCAAGCTGACAAAGGACCTTGGCCATGGCCTGGCGAACAAGTATAACTGCCGTGTTTCGACCCCCCTCTTGAATCGAATGGCAGTGTCAGAATTACCAAGAGCTATCATTTGATTGGCTCTGAGACAGCGAACTGGCTTCCTTTGATTGGCCAAACTATGATACACCTGTATAAATCGATAATGACGTATTAAAAGTTGAAGGAATTGTATTTTACTCGAGGAGGCATACGTAAATCTTCTGATTCGCGAACTTTTTTTGGAACAGGGGAAATATAGATTACAAGTCATGTCATAGAATACAGAGGAATAATTCTTATTAATATAGAATACAATTAAGCAAAAAGATACCCCAACTACTTACATTGGTCCACTGTTGGACATGGCATCTCGGTCCAATTGGTCATGACGTCTCGAAGCTAAGGATAGATGCAAGATCTATCGTTTACTGAAAGGGATCGCGGAAGAGAGACTTTGATATCATTCTGGGTTAACCTTGGTGTCATCGTTTCAATCCCAACTTCGACTGGAGAAATCAAAAGTTACTCTCGATAACAGAAAGTAAACCTGCCCCAAGTGTCGTCAATGCATGGATGATCAAGATTAATATCGTAGCAAGTGAAGTGAAGACGATCCCGCCGCTAATTCTGCAAGTTTTGGATAAGTATGCTACGTTGTATCCCAACGCTTTATCTGACTCGTTGCCGCCCAAGCGAGGAATTGAGTTTGACCTAACCATGCGTTCGGATGCAAAGCCGCAGTATCGCCCCCCATTTCGATTGTCGCAAGATGAGCAAACTTCCTTCGACAAGTTTATCAATGATCTCGAGCGAAATAGGTGGATTCATGTTTCCAACTGTACTGGGTATCCAATACTTTGGGTTCCCAAACGAGATGAATATGTTCAGATGAAAACCCACAGGACTGGTCACACTCAGTATCCCGACACTCCGATTCGCTGGGCCCTCGACTACCGCTATGTAAATTCGCAAACTGTGATCGTAAAACCCACTTCCCAATATTGAAGACGTATGCGATCGCATGCATTGGAAGCAATATCTTCACCAAGATTGATCTGTCATCAGGCTATCACCAGATGCTGGTTGAACCGAAAGCAAGAAAGTACTACATCTGTCCGTGAAAACGTGCCCCCAACTCGAAATCTGAGTTCCGAAAATACTTGCCCCAAGTATACCGCTATCACTACAGCAAATTGATTGGCAAGTCACAATACAAAAATCAAGTGTTTATTAGAGGGATAAAATGTTGGCCAAGTCGGCATCGATGTGGTCGTCCAATTCCTCATCGACAGCCAATTTTTCATCTGAGAGCTAAACTCGTACAATTCCATGGCCTTGGAAATTTCTAGTGCCAACTCCTCCACTTTTTCGTCCATGTCAGTCGCACACAGCAGGTTAAAACCATCATTGATGGTGTCAGAATCAAAAAAAGATAATAAATAGAAAAATAAATAAAAATATTATACCAACAACGTCAGGCAACATACCTTTCGCTGCAAGATTCGCTTTCTTCATGTGAGGCATTTTGTAGTCGTTGTTGCCTGCCACCCGAATGACTTCCTTCATGCAGCACTGCAACATCAGGAAGTTGGCATTAAGTGTCATCAAGTCCACCTGACGCCACGCTCAGAGGGTACCGGCAACGATGTCGTCGATGTACCGTGGGTAGTTTTGTTCCTGCAGCTTCTGAATCGACCGAAAAAAGCCGAGGTCGAGCACGTTCAGGTCTGGTGAGTTCGGCGGCTGGTACACCACTTCCATTGCCCACCCATCGCTTTGGCCGCAGCAACGATTCTTGGGTCCATGGGCGGGACATGCGGCTTTGCGTTGTCCTGCTGGATGCGGACATGCTTCGTGTCGCCAGCCGGCCACTTGGCCTTGATGGCAGGGATGACATTGTCGATCAGCATCACGCGGTATAGACGTCACGCGTCACGCTCACAGGCACGGTCATAAGTGTTCCGGCGGGACGTTATTGCTTGTACGGTACGGGCGGCAGGGACATTCTCCGTAAAATGCCAGGTGCCGACCTTCCCGTCGAACCACTCGAACCGCTAATTGTCCCATCGATGGCGCGCAAAGGCAGAGAGGAACATAACCTTCGTAATGAACTTCTTGGACTTGCATGTTCGGTGAGGGAGCTCTTCGTCGGGAGCGAGGTAGTACGACTTGCTGACCCGAGTGGCAAAGAACCACTTCTCGTCCACGTGTACAACGTTCATCATATCGGCGAAAGCATAGTCGTCGGGCGTAACTGCGTGAACGTGGTCCATGGCCCACTTGAGGCGCACTGCTTGGTTCGCGTCGGTGAACTGTGGCATGATCGCACTGGTGTACTCGACGAAGATTCCGCGCCGGTAGTAGTCGTGGAGGGTGGACCGGGGCATACCCATTGCAGCAGCGATGAACCAGAATGTTGTTCGGCGGGCCTTAGTTACTAGCTTGAGTCGTTGAGCGACAGAGTCGTGCTTGAGGTTGCGACCCGAGTGGCCCTTCTTCCGCGAGCTTATATCCTGGCACGGACGGTAGAGGTTAGTGAGGTCGACGGACGCACGGTGTCACAGGCGACGTACAGTGCTTCTGTCGTCGTTGAACGTCATAGCTACGGCGGCAAGGGCTCCACGTGGCAGAGCCTTATGATCTACCATGCGGGTCAAGAGTTGGTGGAGCATACCTCTGCAGTCAGCTTCGGTGCGGTCCTTTCTTTTGGTTATCTTGTTTAAAGTATTAGGTCTTCGTTTGGTTGGTGTGTTTGTGATTGGGTGTATTTTGCCGAGTCCATATCATTGGTGTTCGTCGCATCGAGCCAACCACAGGTGTGCTTTCAGAATACAATAATTCGACCAGCTTCAAGTACATTTTTGAAATATACTGTTCGTGGCATGTTTTCACGGACAGAGGTAGTAACAGCCTTTCGTACTTATCGTGAAGTGTATGAATGGGTCGTAGCGCCAATGGGAATGGCTGGCAGATGCACCGTCTATTCGTCAAGTTCGACTTTGCAGTTGTCCGTATGGATGACGATTGTGTATTCTCCTTCCATAAAAGAGCTTGCGGCCCATCGCACGGCAATATGTGACGACAACTGCACGGACATTCTGCATCATTTGTACAGCCTAGGATGCAAAGTGCGCACGATCGATTGAGCAAAGACTGCTGTATTATCATTCTTTAAGGAGAATGATATCTCACCAAACCCAGCAATAACGTAGCTCTCGCTATGTCTGCAAGATCTGCAGACATAGCGAGAGCTATGTTATTGGAATTCAGAAGTACAATCGACAGACAACGTCGACGACGAGAAAAGGCGCAACCGCTGACGGTACATGACCTGTCCAAGTTAACGAACGTGTTCGCCTATCACAGCTGTTGCATCCATGTTTCAGCTCATTGGTAGTTTTCGCATCAGAGTGATGTTTGCTTTGAAGTGGCATGGCGTCTCACTAGGAAAGGACGAATTTGGTCAATATATTTCGATCCGGCAGTGGTGGTACAAAAAGCAAGTGTAGAGAGAGCGTGCCAAGAATATCATTTGGTGGATAAGCCGCCATTCCCATACCTCTGTGTGTGCGCCCTGTATCAAGGCTACCTCGAAAGAATCCGTCAGACGCATGCCAACGTGACTCAAGAAGCATGTGTGCTCCCATCTGCGACCAGCAGAATGGTACCGTTCGCATGGATCCACTGGAACAAATTATGTGCGACGCATGGTGCAAGACATGGTCCAGTCGTCACCAAGCTTGCCCGTCAGAATATCGTTGTACAGTGTGCGAAGAGGTGGATGCTTTAACAGAGTGCTTCAGGCACTAGAGCGGAAGTTCAACTTCCGGGAGTTGATGGCGTGGTGCCGTTGGACAGACTCGAAGGTGTGCTCTGAGTCCTTGGTTACGAAAAATATTAGCGACGGCATCGACCCACAAAAATTGTACTCCCTACAAAAATTGTAGGGAGTTGATAGCGCAGAGGAATTTTGGAAGTGATTCAATTGTCATCGTTAAATCGTTCTAGCTAAAGATCGCTATGCAGTACTCACGCG